CTCTCATCCGCGTCCCCCAGCTCTCCCAGAATGAACAGGAACTGCATGAAAACGACTTTGGAGCGTCGGCGCGGATTTCTTTGATCAGCGCTGGCGCGCGGAGCGCGCCAGGCGCCGCGCCGGAGACGCCGGCAGGGCGGTTCAAGAGCCGATCCAAGAAATCCGCGCGGACCTCCGGACGTCACGAAATTATTATTCCCCTTCCTGTCCCTTCCCTTGCCCGACCACCCTCCCCCCACTTACCCCAATCCCCGACTTAATGGGTTTCTCGACTGGATCAAGATCTGGGCGAAACCAGAGGTTCTACAACGGAGGGGCGTCTATACTCGACAGGGATGCGTCGGAATGGCCCCCCCCCTGGGTGCATCTCCGAGCTCCCGTCTTTTCCTGAGCGGCCTAACTGAAAGGGGGGGGCCTGATTTGAGGGGCAACGCTAGGGGGGGAACAGGCACAGCGAGCTGGCATCGGCGATACATCGCCGATAGATCAGCGATAGATCGGCGGCGGGCCCCCGAGACCGAAACCGCACACTCCTGGACGGTTCCTCAGGAGTCGACGGGCGCAAGCAGGGCGAGGAGCACTTTTAAAGGCGAGGACAGAGGAAAGATCAAGGAATCCTGCTGGACGGCTTGCATCGAAGCTATGGCAACCATGTCCAGGGTATGGGAGTGATGCCCCTGCCTGACAAATTCTGCTAGCTGCCAGCCTCAAGGGTCTAACGCATCCTTCTCCATCTCCTCAGCATGATCATCGTCCTCTTCATGTTCCTCGTCCGTCCCTCATCGTGCTCCTACTCCTCCCCCGCTTCCTCCTCCTCCTCATCACCCTCCTTCCCCTCCTCTCCGTCATCCACTGGTCCCGCTCCTCGTCATCCTCATCGCCCTCATCCTCGTCGTCCTCCTTCACCTATGTCCCTCCTCGTTTGAACTATCCTCTTCCTGGTCCTCTTCTCTCCTTCCTCATCATCTCCTCCTCCGGAAGTGCCTGTGGTCAAGCCAGCTGCTCCCACAAAGCTAAGAACCAGTCGATGTCTGCGTCATCCTTCTCCTCCTTCTCTTCCTACCCAGAGAGATCCCTGGTCTTTCCCTCCTCCTCCCTCCACGCCCTACCCTCCCTGTCCTTACGCCCTCTCCTCCTCCTTCGTCTCCTCCACCTTCTCCTCCTCCTCCTCCTGCTCCCCCTCCTCCCTGCTCCTCCTCCTCCCTGCTCCTCCTCCTCCTCTTTCTCGTCCTCCTCCGACTCCTACTCATACTACTCCTCGTGCTCCTCATCCTCCTCCTCCTCCTCCTCCTCCTCCTCCTCCTCCTCCTCCTCCTCCTCCTCTCTGCTCCTCCTCCTCCTCCTCTTTCTCGTCCTCCTCCGACTCGTACTCATACTACTCCTCGTGCTCCTCCGCCTCCTCCTCCTCCTCCACCTCCTACTCCTCCTCCTCCTCCCCTCACTTCTCCCCCACTCACATGTTTTCCGCCTTCCTCGTCCTTCTCAATCAATCTTTCCCTGCCTCTCCTCCCCCCTTGATTGAGCCGTGAGCCAAGCCGGCTCTACTAGCGGCCAGAAATCGGCCATCGTCTGCCCCAACAAAATGGCAGCTGGGGGCAGCGCCGCGATGCCCGCGCGCCGCTGAGCAGCTGCTTGTCCCACCTTCCCCCCCCCTTCCTCCCACCTCCTCCTCCTCCTCCTTCTCCTCCTCCTCCTCCTTCTCCTCCTCCTGCACCTCACTCATATCCCCTCCTCTTCCGCCTGCACCTCCGCCTCCGCCTCCTCCTCCTCCTTGTCCTCGTCCTCCTCACTCTACTCCTTGTCTCTCATTCTCTCTCTCTCTCTCTCTTATTCCTGATGCTCCTATTCAACTGCTTCCTACTCCCGCTCCGCCTGTGTGCTGTTCCGTCCTTCTCTTCCTCCACCAATTCCTCTTCCATCTCCTACTCCTCCTCCTTCTCCACCACATCACAATCATCAACCTCAACCTCATCCTCATCCTCATCCTCCTCCTCCTCCTCATCCTCCTCATCATCATCATCAGCATCAGCAGCAGCAGCAGCATCATCATCATCATCATCATCATCATCATCATCATCATCATCATCATCATCATCATCATCATCATCATCATCATCATCTTCATCGTCATCGTCATCATTATCATCATCAGCAGCGTCGTCATCATCATCAACATCATCGTCAGCATCATCATCATCAACAGCTTCATCATATTCAGCATCACCATTCTCATCATAATCATCATCCTCGTCATCATCAGCAGCGTCTTCATCAGCATCATCAGCATCATCGTCATCATCATCAGCATCATCAGCATCCTCATCCTCATCATGACCATTATCGTCGTCCGCCACATCCTCCTCCTCCTCCTCCTCCTCATCATCATCATCATCATCATCATCATCATCATCATCATCGCCAGCATCATCAAGATCATCACCACCAGCATCATCATGATCTGAATCATCAACAGCATCATCAACTTCAGCAGCAGCACCATCATTAACAGCATCAGCATCCTCATTATCATCCTCATCCTCATCAGCATTGTCATCACCAGCAACAGTTGCATCATCCTCACCATAATCATCGACACCAACATAAACATAATCATAATCAACATCATCAGAATTGGCATCATCGCAATCAGCAGAAACAAACTCATCATCATCATCATCGTCACCATCATCACCATGATCAGTATCATCATCCATCATCATCATCATCATCATCATCAGCAGCATCATCATTACCATCATCACCATAATCGACAGCAGCAGCACCAGGATCATCATCATCAGCAGCAGCATCATCATCGTCATCATTAGCAGCAGCATCATCGTCAGCCGCATCAACATCAGCATCAGCATCAGCATCATCATCATCTGATCGTCATAATCGTGCTCATCCTCCTCCTCTTCCCCCTCCTTCTTCTCCTCCTCCTGCTCCTCGTGCTGCTCCTCCTCATCATCCAAGACTCCGCCTCCTCCCTCCTACTCCGCAGGCTCGTTGCACATCCGCTGGCCTGCCACCCCGCCTCCTCCAGCACCCAGCGCCCTCGCAGGAAGATGGGGGAGGGGGAGGAGCAGGAGAAGCTGGAGGAGAAAGGAAGACAGAGAGAGAGAGAGAGAAAAATGAGGGAGAGAAAGAGAGAGTGAAAGAGATAGAGAGAAGGAGAAAGAGAAAGAGAGAGAGAGAGAGAGAAAGAAACAAAGCTGATTGTGTTGAACGTGCCGCCTGTGTGGGGGCTCGGGCGACGCGCCCGAGTATGCCTCGCCAGCTGTGAGCGCAGCCTGGGCCAGCGACCAGAGCCAAAGAGCGAGAGAGAGAGAGAAAGAAAGAAAGAAAGATATAAAGAAAGAAAGAGAGGAAATGGGCACCTTTCCGGCCCTCTTGGCATGAAACAAGCGGGTCTTGAAGGAAACGGGTCCTGGACCCTAGGGTCTTGCCCAAAGACCACTTCTTCACTCTAAGCCGCTGTTTGACGGTCCTGGGGCCCGTGGAGGGCCCCAGGAGGCCGAAATGCTCAGGACCCGTTTCCCTCAAGACCCGTTTGTTTCATTGCGGTCCTCGCTCCCGCCCCACCCCACGCCGGCATGCGTGCGAGCCGCCCAGCTCAGAGGACGTGGGAGCAGCAAGAATCGTGTGCGATACGCACAGGCCCAGCGCAGGGAGAGCCGGAATTGCTTAAAAAGGCGGCTGCCCCTCGACTCGTTGATCGCGGGTCAGCAGTGCCCAGAACAGGCGTTGCGAGCGAGAGGGTTCGGCGGCACGCCCCGGGGAGAAGGCAGAGGGGGCGGGCCTTCTCAGAAGGCCCAGGAGGCCTCTGGCAGTCCGAGCGGCTCTCTGCGCCTTGTCCGAAGCCCGGCCGCCTGCTGAAAGAGAGACTGCCCTCTCTCTCTATCGTCCCCCCTCGGCGTGCCGCCGGAGGGGCCGTGTCCGTGTTGGGGCGGAGCAGGACGGAGAATGAAGAGGGGCCCTCCTCTCGAGCCTCCCCCTGCAGGGGGGAGGAGGTGGAGGAACGAGAGAACACCCTGCCGCTCGCTGGCCTTCTTGCGTCCACGTGGCTGCAATGTTGCACGAGCGGTCGGTGACCGCCGCCACCGGTCGCATATAAACGTACTCTACTGAAGAATTTGCCACAGTTAGCCGACCCACGTCAGGCGGTGGAGCGGTCCACGACGACGTGGAAGCGCACTCCCCCCATGCCACCTACACGACGGCACAGCGGTCCGCGACTGGTGCTAAAGGAACAGCTGGCGCTGATTCTAGCGCGCTGTTTCTGGCCTGACCAACCTCTCTCCTCCGCCTCCACTTCGCAAGACTGCAACCCTGGAGTCTGGGATCCGGGGGGCTGTCCTTCCTCTTCTCTCCCCATCCTCCGCCTCGCAATCCGAATCATCATCCACCTCGTCATCCCTCTCCCCCTCCTTTCCCTCATCATCCTCCACCTCCTCCTCCACTGCCCGCTACTCCTATTTCTTCTCCTCATACCTCTTCGTTCGTGCTCCCCTTCTCTCCCTGTAGCTACTGTTTCTGCTCCTCCTCGTCCTCGTCTTCCCCTTCCTCCTCCCCCTCGTCCTCCTCCTGCCTCCTCCTCGGTTCCTCCTCCTCCTCCTCCTCCTCCTCCTCCTCCTCCTCTTGCTCCTCCTCCTCCTCCTCCTCCTCCTCCCCCTCCTCCTCATCCTTCTCCTCCTGGCACGTAGCTCTCCTCATCCTTCTCCTCCTCCTCCTCCTCCTCCTCCTCCTCCTCCTCCTCCTCCTCCTCCTCCTCCTCCTCCTCCCTCACCATCCTCCATTATCCCCCGTCGCCTTTCTTCAGTTGCTGCTGACTCCTCTTCACCTTTCCCCTTCCCCTCCTCCAGGAGGAGGCGGGGGAAGGGGGGGAGGAATGGAGGGAGGGAGGGAGAAAGGGAGGGAGGGAAGAGAAGGCGGAGAGAGAGGGAGGAGGCGGTAGACCACCGTAAACCCAAGATGTATCAACGATGCTGGAATACGGCCTCCCGTCCCAAGTCCCCTTCTCATGAACCCTTACAAGACTTCAATGATCGCCAGTCGAACGAGATCCCTCGATATCCCCCGATCTGAGAAGGAACTGCCATGCACCCGTCTAGCGAGTGCTGAGGACTGCGATAGGGCAGGATCAGACACATCGAAGTCCCAAGCGACAGTCCCATTGAGAAAAGGAGCAGCACTGCATCCGTACAGCTGCAGCGCAACTCTAAGCTGACTGTACACGCGAACGCAGCACACAAACACACGATGCCCGCCCACGGGCAAGAACCCACGGATAAGAGAAGCTCGACTAAGCATATGATCCGGCTCCCCTCGTGGGGGCCCTATCCGCACCCCACGGGTACCAGAACCACCGCACTTTGGAGGCAACTTTGCGTTGCCCAGTTCAGGGGGATGATAATCAGTCGCTGTTCTCCCGCCTTTCTTCTTCCTCCCGCCTCTCCTTCTCTCACGTCTCTGGTCGTTACTTTTCCCTCCCGCTTCGCGGGAGGGGCCGGCCTGGTAGGTGGGGCTCTGTCACCCCCCCTCCTTGTCCCTCTGCTTCTCCCTCCTCCCACTACTGCTTGCCCGAAATTTTAAATAGGTGGTAATCAAGGAGCTCGGGTCCAGATAAATTGTTTAACTATACGGTATTAGCAGTGCCCCGACTCCCCAGTTGCACGCAACGCTCGCCTATCGTACCGCAGGTTGGCTTGAGCGCTGCTCCAAAGGTCTGGACTGCTCTTCGTCCTCCTCCTCCTCCTCCTCCACCTCCTCCTCCTCCTCCTCCTCTCTCCTCCTCTCTCCTCCTCTCTCCTCCTCTCTCCTCCTCTCTCCTCTCTCCTCCTCTCTCTCTCCTCCTCTCTCCTCCTCCTCTCCCTCCTCTTCCTCCTCTCTCCTCCTCTCTCCTCCTCTCCTCCTCTCTCCTCCTCTCTCTCCTCCTCTCTCTCCTCCTCCTCCTCCTCCTCCTCCTCCTCCTCCTCCTCCTCCTCCTCCTCCTCCTCCTCCTCCTCCTCCTCCTCCTCCTCCTCCTCCTCCTCCTCCTCCTCCTCCTCCTCCTCCTCCTCCTCCTCCTCCTCCTCCCCTCCTCCTCCTCCTCCTCCTCCTCCTCCTCCTCCTCCTCCTCCCTCCTCCTCCTCCTCCTCCTCCTCCTCCTCCTCCTCCTCCTCCTCCTCCCCTCCTCCTCCTCCTCCTCCTCCTCCTCCTCCTCCTCCTCCTCCTCCTCCTCCTCCTCCTCCTCCTCCTCCTCCTCCTCCTCCTCCTCCTCCTCCTCCTCCTCCTCCTCTCCTCCTCCTCCTCCTCCTCCTCCTCCTCCTCCTCCTCCTCCTCCTCCTCCTCCTCCTCCTCCTCCTCCTCCTCCTCCTCCTCCTCCTCCTCCTCCTCCTCCTCCTCCTCCTCCTCCTCCTCCTCCTCCTCCTCCTCCTCCTCTCCTCCTCCTCCTCCTCCTCCTCTCCTCCTCCTCCTGCTCCTCCTCCTCCCTCCTCCTCCTCCTCCTCCTCTCCTCCTGCTCCTCCTCCTCCTCCTCCTCCTCCTCCTCCTCCTCCTCCTCCTCCTCCTCAACATCCCCCTCTTCGTCTGTGCTCCAATCCCACCCTCCCAACCTATTTTACAGAGGGTGGTGAGGAGAGGTGAAAGGGGGGAGGCAGGAGGGCGCCGCGGGGGCCCGCGCGGCGGCATTGGGGCGGAAGACCGCGCCCCGCCTGCGCGTGGCTGGACCCCCCTAACACCGAAGAGGGGTTCTGCATAACTTAAAGACAAGCCTTCCGAGACCTCAGAAGGAGGAGGAGGAGGTGGAGGGGAGGAAGGTCCTCGACCTGCATCTCCAGGCGGTCTCCGAAGCACTTCTCAAAGATCTTCTTGAGGTCGAGGTTGCCAGGGAGTGGGCCGCTGCTCCTGGTATATGATCCTCTTGAGTATCTCCATCCGCATCTGGTTCTCCAGGCCTCAGGAGGTACGTGAAGGCCCTCGATGGCCACGGCGTGCCAGGAGCCCGTGGCGTTGTTCTTGATGACGGCGCACTCATGCGGTGCGCACAGGCCCGCCTTCAGCTCAGAAATCTGCTTGGTGATTGCTGCTGCCGGCTTGGCGCCGACCTCGTTTATCTTGGCCTCCAGAGCGGCGATAGCCTCCTCCGATGCACGCTGCGTGGCCCGCTTCTCGGTGGCCGATATCTCGTCCAGCCTAGTACGTAGGGCCTGCAGTGCCTCATTCACGTGGAGCAGGCTCTTCTTCTCGATGAAGTCCTGCGTGATCTTGTTCAGTGGCGCCTCCTTCCCATAGTGGAGCAACATCGGTGAGTGCCATCTTGCCATGAGCTCGATCTGATATACATGCAATCCCACTGCCGCTAGCATGCGTGCGCCTCCCAGCCTCGCCGAGTGTCCTCCCAAGAGCCTGTTGCCATCCTCGTCCAGGTGTGGGAGGCCTGCCAGGGCGCACATGGTCTCGTACGTGATGACTACCTCCTCCTTCTGGACGGTTCCTCCCGCTGCTGTCGGGAAGAAAAGGAATGCCCGAGGGGACGGCGCCATGCCGGTCGGCGAAGAGTCTGTGGACAAGCTCCTTCTGCTTCTTGGCCGCGTGGAACGGGCAGGCAAAACTGGAGACAGCATCGCAGAGGCATCCCCACGTCCGTGATGTGGTGAGGGCGGACGGGTCCGCCTTCGAGCCTGGCAAGATCCACCTGACCTCGTTGCGATCGTTGTTGATGATGACGTTGCTGTACAAGGTGAGGGAGCTCTCAATCTCCCGCAACATGAAGAAGACGCTGGTGGCGGTCATGTTGACAGGGCCCACGGGCCCCCCTGGTGTGACGGGTAGGTATCCGACCTTCCCGTCCTTCGCTAGCTGGACGATGGCGGACAAGTCGATCGGCTCCTTCTGATGGCCCGGCCCGATACCTCCCAGCACCGATCTTGTGACCCGTCTGGCTTCCAGCTCCAGCTGCTCGCCCCACTCGCCTCCCGTCTCGATGTGCCGCTCCTTGATCTTCGTGAGGTAGTTGGCGAACGATCTGTACCTGCCTGCCTTGAACAGGGCGCCCACTGCCTGTAGCTTCTCCGGCGTGAGCGGGAGGACTGGTGTGTGTGAGCCGAACCACTCCTTATGTAGTGTGTGCCACGTCTTGAGTAGTGAGTCCTTGGCGCCTTTGGCCGAGGCCGCGACGAAGTCCTCCTGGAGCCGCGCGAGGGCCTCGGCTCTGCCCTCCTCGGTCCTCGCAGCTGTGAGTGCTGCGAGCTGAGAGCCGCCTCGCGTGAACTCGACCTTCGGAGCGTCGGCCCTCTCTGCGAACTGGAGGCGAGGTTGTTGCCTGCAGTCTGTGCCCTCTGTTCGGTTAGTGCTCGCCGATGCTATGGGTCCGCTTCTATCTCCTGGCGGATCGCTGCGGGCTGCGGGCGGTGATGTGCTGTCACCCACGATGCTCGAAAGGCTGACTGTTGGCAGCAATCCTGAAGCCTTCCTCTTGCCCATGCAGGGCTTGAGCCAAAATCCTACGGACGTGGGAAGCGGGGCCCCCTCGGTGAGGCCGCCCCGGGGCCCCGCCGAGGGGGGGGAACCGCCGCGTCGTTTCGGGTCCCAAACCTTTTCCATTCGGCACACGAATGATAAGCTCGCATAGCAAACTGGAAAATCGCGGTGTACCCTGCTTCTGAAACGTGTTTCAATGACCGGAGCGCTCGAGAGCCAGTCGAGGCCCCGCGGAGGGGGCGCCTTGGGTGCCCAAAGGGGGGGGGCCCTCCCAAAGGTACCGAGAGGGGATTGAGACCCCTCCCACCACGGCATGGGCGCCCCATGCCAGACGCCTTGTGTCGGAGCCACGGGAGGCCACGGGCTCGACCAAGGGGGGGGAGGTGAGCCTCCTGAGGCCCCACTTAGGTGGCGGGCCGATCCCAGGCTGGCGTGTCACGGGGGACCACGCGCCACGGGCAACCGAAACTCACGGGGGACCTCGTGAGGAGAGGGATCGTTTCTTGCTTTGTCCCAGAGAGGGCATGCACATCAGCTCTGCAACGTCGGCCTTTGGGCCAATTTGGTGAGTATTAAACTCCCGCGCGCTTAACCCGCCCCCTCATTCTGCACTTGCGAAGCGGGCGGGGGGGCGCGGAAGAAGCTCGGCAGGCGAGGCGCCACGAAAAATTCGGCGGCGGTGGCAAGAGCGCGCGGGTGCCTGATCTGGTGTCCCGGCTGTGCTCGCCTGCTGAGCTCGTCGGCTATGTCGTTGGCAATGCCCGGGATATGTATGTAGGCGCAATCGCCAAACTCGAGGGCCATCTCTCGGCATACCACGCCAAGGCCGTGCGAGGCGGCGCGGGCCCTGAAGGTGAGCAGGAGGGTGAGCGTGGAGATGCTATCCGCCGTCGCTGCGAGGTAGATGCCCTGCTGCAGCCACGCTTGCCTCCACAACCGTAGGGCGACCAGCATGGCTAGGGCCTCCCATACCTGCTGCCCTGCGGCCTCGCCCAGCGGCACGTGCATGATGTCCGCGTCAGTCTGGGTGAGCGGGCTCGTGAAGTAGGCCATGATCACGTTCTCCACGAGTAGATACCCGCCGAGCCCCCAGGGCGAGGCGCCGGTGATGATCGCAATCTTCTTGGCATAGCCGAAGTAGGCCTTGACGCGGTAGATCCGCGTGAGAGAGCCCATGGTCCCCTCCTGGAAGGCATGGATCCATGCGAGGGCTTGTGCAATCTGCTTGGTCCAGATGCACTGTCGTGGGGCGTTGCTGGCCTCGCCCCGCTTGTACGCTGCAATCGTGCTCCAGATGCCCTGTAAGAATGGGCGCCATGCCTCGATCATGCCTGCGATGTGATTGGCCTTGCCCACGAGTGACTGCACGTCCTTAATTGCAGCGACGTTCGTCTTGCGCATGTCGTTGACCATCTGGCGCACGTCGTCGACGATGTCCTGCTTGGCTGTGACCACCATGGCCTGCTCGGGTTGCTGCTTGACTGTCAAGTGAGCTCCGATCCAGTCGACCTCTGGGCCTCGATCCGCCATTTTGAATGCGAGGTTGAGGCCCAGCGCCCTCCAGGTCAAGATGACGAGGGCGAAACACCCGTCGCGCTGGCTCATGATCCCGCGCGCCGCGATGATCGGGTCGTCCACGTAGATGTGGAGGCGGAGCTCGTTTGACCAGAATAATGACTGAGTGAGTCGTGCAATCATTGCGGCGACCCGTCCGCACACTAGGGGTGCATTTACACTGCCCTGGGCCATGGTCAGAAAAATGATAAACTCGCCGTCGAAATATGCGACGAAATGTCTGCGCTCTTGATGCTTGAGCGGTATATTGTAGAACCAGTCCGTAAAGTCAAGTACCAGCCATTCCACTCCTTCGTCAGCGTCTGAGTGGCATTCCTTGGCGAGGTAGAGGGCGTCGTCGATCACGTCCGACAGCCTCGGGAGCACGATCCTCTGCCTCTGCCTCGCCGTGGCGTTGACTCCGGACTCCTTGCAATCTAAGATCAAGCGCCGCTTGACCCTGCCATTCTTGACTTTGGTGATCATGCCCAACTTGGATACGTTGGGCTTGGCCCCAAGCCATGAGCAGGCGTCCCTGTATGACTTGAACGTCTCGACGTAGCCTGTGGCTTTGAGCCTCTCAACCTCCGGCTTCGCCTCAGGGTCGCCGTCCACCGATGAGTAGTTGTGAAACGAGGGCTCGCCACCGTGCTCATCCAGTACCTGAGGTAAGGGCTTGATCTCGTCCGCGTCGACCGCGGGGAAGATGCCCCGATCCGCGGTGTCCGCCTCGATGCCCGCTGGGGCTCCGTGCTTGAGCCAGTCCTCGACGTGGTCAGCGTCGATGTCGTTGGCGCGCCTAGCCCATGCTGCGAGTAGGCTCGCTCGGATGGGTGTGTTGTACAGCTCGCCTGCGACGCACGCGGTGTCCTTGGTGCCCACCGTGCCCCCGATGATGGTGGCCACTTGGTCCAGCATGGTGGCGTCGGGGCCTGCCGCCTCCTTGTCTGAACCTATGGCCTCGAGGCATGCGTGCTGAACGTGCGGGTTGGCATCCAAGAGCTGCCCCAGACCATGTCTGAGCTGCAAGCTGATCGCCCCGTAGTTGACTAGCTTCTCTATGCTCTGCCTGGGGTGTCTCATGCCCCCGATGCAGTTCTCGTTCTCCAGCTCCCTGACCTTGACGTCCAGCGTCCGATTGCCTTTAAGCGAGTGGCTGAAAGCAATCTCGTTCGTCGCCTTCGTGTCCCCATGCTCTGAGCGATCTGGCTGTCTGGCGTCCTGCTTCCTAACCAGCGTGTTGCGCCAATAGCCGACGTTCACGAGCTGCTCATGTTCTTGCGACCTTGCCCTTGCAATCTGTCTTGCTCTGGTCGCCAGCTTCACCGCCAAGTACCGGTTGAGGCCCGTGGGGTACGCCTGCGCGCTCTGTGTCAGGAACGGGGCGTTAGCGTACTTGCGGTGGTACTGCGTGTCGTTCAGGAGCATGTCTCTTTTCCACTCACCCGCGGGTATCATCTTCTCCTTGCCCACTAGAGGTGGGCGAGGGCCGCAGTGCCATTCGCCTGTGGACGGGCGCCTCCACCAGCGTGACTCGTGCTTGCACCTGCCGAAGGCATCCGAGAGGTCGATGCCCGTCGCCATGAGGGATGATCTCTTCTCGGCTTCGGCACCGTACGCGCACTGGACCGCGGTCGTGATGGAGATGTTCCCGCTGCGTCGGATGGTCTGGAACTCGTCGAGGTTGTACATACTCGTGCTCTCGCTGTCCTCAGGGTCGAAGTGGGGCTGCTCGTTGATGGTCGGCGTGTTGTCCATGGTGCTGCTTGCCAGCATGTCCGCCGCTCTTACCGCCATCAGCGTGCCCATCTTGACCTTCTCCTTATCCTGAGGAGCCAGCTCTTTGAATCCGTATCTGTCTGCACCTCGAGTTCCGCGTAGCGGCGGTGGGCCGCCGTCGCCTTCCCTGCGCCTTCTCCGAGCTCTCGTGAAGGTGTTGCAGGGTGGCGCCACCAATATGCCAGCAAACACCGCCTTTCGTGCCATCAGTCTTCTCCAGTTCTCCTCCCCGGCTAGGTCCTGGTCGTCGCCGTTGATCTTGTCCCATTCCTCACACATGCCTCCCATCTCCCGAATCGCCTGGGCGAACCCGCCCTCGCGTCCCGCTGGTCCGCTGAACAGGCACAGGAACTCGAGGCCTTCCGCGAGGTCCTGAGGGAGCTTCTTGGTGAGATCGCAGGCGTAGACGTTGGCGTCGGAGTCCTCCTTTGTTTTCATGTCTGGCACGTGCTTGTCGGCGAAATCGTGATCCGTCTTCAGTGACACTCTTCTGCTGATGTCAACTTTAGCATCTGAATGCCGCTTCACTCCAGGATCCGAAGTACGCCCGCACTTCTCGCCCTGCGGCTGTGTGTCTGGAGCCGTCGGGGGCGCTGCTACCTCCCCCGACGGGTGGGCGGGGGTCACCCCCGCCCGCTGCCTCTGCCGCCTCCTCTCCCGCCACCTCGTGCCGACTTGTTGGCGCGGGGTGGGCGGGCTGCCTTGTGCGTGCACGCGTTGGCGCCGTGGTCGCTGGACAGGCACTTCGCGCACTGGTGCTTGAGGCGTGGGATTCTGCGGCAGATGTTCCGTGCGTCATGCTCAGTGCACTCGCCCGTCTGGAAGCCTCTGCACAGCTCCATGTTCTTCCTGTTGTGGGTGAAGAGGCCGTCTGATCCGACTTTGCGCGCCCTGCTGTTGCCACTGTCGCCGCCTCCGCCACCTCCGCCCCCGCCGCCGCCACTGTGCGGGTCGCCACCGCCTCCGCCCCGCGGGCGTTTGGCTGGTGACTGCGGTGGCGGGAGCGCTGCCAGCGGCTGTGCGGTGAGGCTGGCGCTGGCGTGCGACGTCGGCATGATCGGGGCGCCGTGCTCGATCATCTGGTTGAGGGAGGCCGTGCGAGCCAACACAAGTACAGCGGGTTCCTGTACCTCTCTCAGCCAGAACTGGACGTCTGATATTAGCTTTGACCGGACCCATCCCCACGGCTTGGTGTCGTCGAAGTCGTGGAACGCCTGCGTGGCCACAGCGCGCTCCTCCTCGTCCTTGCCGATCCTCCGCAATCTCTCCGACAACTCGAGTCTTGCTCGAACATCTGCTTGGTATATCAGCGCCCAGCACTGGCGCCCGTAGCGCTCGTGTAGCCCTCGGAGGTGCTTCTCGTAACCGTCCAATCTCGCTGGAGATATCTGGTCGAACATGATACACCCCACCTTGAACACCGCATAGCATGCTCGCCAGTCCTCGAAGTCTGCGGGGCCTGTGAGCTCAATGGATGTTACCTCGCCCGTGGGGGGGATCTTCACGCCGCGCAGCCTGATCTTCTTTTGGATCCTGTGGTGGTGCGGCCCCCATACGGCCATGTCCGTATACGGTGCTCCTCCTGACTGGAACGCCTCGAAGAGGGTGGAGAGCTGCTCCTTGCTCAGCTCCTCTTCCGCTGGAGGGAAGGCCCCGATCCTGTCGTAGTACCTCTTGTACGCCGCCTTGATGGCGGTCTCGTCTAAGATGTCAATATCCGTGTCGTCCGTCTGGTTGATCGTGCCCGCCATCTTCACCTTACGCTTGGCTGGCGAGCTCGCGTTGTTGTTGGCGGCGTTCGCCGCCGTCGCCTGTGCTGCTGCTGCTGCTGCTGCTGCTGCTGCCGCTGCCGATGGTTGTGTGCCAACCGTCACTCTGCATGCTCTCCTTTGCCGCCCAGCCTGGGACAAATGTGCCGGAGTGGGATCCTGGCTCTGGGGGTCCCCGCCGCCTGCCTGCGGGATCTGGAGGTTCAACGCGGCGATGATGGCTGTGTAGTCGTCGGCGTTCAGATTGCCGATGACGCGCGGGTGCTCCACGCCCGTGATGCCGAGCGCCTGGTACAGCGACCCCCTCGGCGTCGATGTGTCAGTGCCGTCGCCTGCTAAGCCCGTCCAGGCGGCTACGTCATTGATGCACGTGAAGCCGCTCTGCTCCTGGTCTGTCGGGTCGATGGACGTCATCCGTCGAGCCGCACTCGGAACCTGGACGGCAGCAGGAGACTGCGGGTCTTGCCCGCGGACGGGAGGCGAAAACGGGCAGCGCAGTACCCGCACGTGCACACACCGAACGTGTAGACGGTGAGGGCCACCAGCAGCGTCGCAAGGAAGATAGTGTTAGCGATGACCTCCACCTCCTCGGGCTTGTGGACGAGGGGGCCCAGAGCGGTCCCTGGCATGCACAGAAGGAGCAGGGAGCTAGCGGGGGCCCTCCTCGTGCCGAGGGAGGGGGAGGATAATCTCGAAACCACTTGAGCCAAAATGGTTTCGGATGAAATCCCACCCGCCCCCCGGCGCACAGAGGGGGGGACGTTACCCCCACACCACTTCGTTTTGTTATGCCCCTCCTCCTCCTCCTCCTCCTCCTCCTCCTCCTCCTCCTCCTCCTCCTCCTCCTCCTCCTCCTCCTCCTCCTCCTCCTCCCCCCCGCCCCCGGGCGAGCGGAGCGCGCCATGGGCGGCGCCGTGGGCGCCGCCAGAGGCGCAGCCAGGAGGGGCCCACCGCCGATCCAGGAGATCCGGGCGCAGCTCCAGAAGAGAGGGGCTTGTCGCCTCTCGTGTTAATTCGGGCGTGTCCCCCTACAGGGGGATTCTCGACGAAAAACGCAAAAAAAAAATAATACCCCCAAAATATCCCCCAAAGGTCAAACAATACTCAAACAATTGTCCCCAGACTATGTTTGGACTATGTTGAGGGTATGTTGTATTTTTTCCGTCGAGAATCCCTCTGTAGGGGGACAGGCCCGACTGAACTCTTGTGCCTCGAGCCCTCGCTGCCCTCGCCCCTCACTGCCTCCGCAGAGATGGCACCGGGTGCCGCCAGGGAGCGGGCTCCCGATTCTGGCCACCTGGCCACGGGCGGGGCGGCAAGCGCCTCGCCGACGCCGTGCACGGCGCGGCTGTTTGCTGAGCAGCGGGGGCGGCCCAGATCGCAGAGAAGGTGAGTGGGAGGATGCCAACGGTACGCCTGCACGACGGTGGCCAGGCTCATGGATCGGCGTGGAGGGGATCTGTGAAGGAGCATTGTTAGCGCCCTCCGGAGAAACGATTCCGGGTGCGAGCGCGTTGTCCCCAGAGCGCCGTCGGCAGGTGTGGAATTGGAGCCCACTGGGGGCTGAGGTGGCCCAGCACTGGTTCCGGCCAGCAGATAAGAGAGAGGAAGGGGTAAATTTTGACCCCGAACGGGCCGGGGGACCAATGTGGGGCGGATATGCCCTCGCCCCCCTTCCATCTTGATCCGTTCCTCCGGGCCCATCCAGCACAGACCACCTGGCCGCGTCCGAGTATGGAGGAGCAGGAGGAGGAAGAGGAGAGGACTAGGACAAAGGAGGAAGAGGAGTGGGAGGAGGAGGAGGAGGAGGAGGCGGAAGAGGAGGAAGATGTGACTGGTTACGGGTTACAGGCTTTCACAGGTCCGCGTGGGACAGGCCGCGCGTCTGCTCAGAAAACGGTAGGTTGCGCCACGTGAGAGCGTTTGTCATTGCGATGCGGATTGCTCCGCTGCGAGATCGCGCAGGTGATAGATCGACCTCCAGTTCAAGACTTGACAGGTCAGCTTCAAACTGTCTCAAGCTGTGTCCCGCGCCAAGACGTCAGCCACGACTCAACTTGATATCGCCCAACTGTTCTGGAGACCATATTCTCACATCGATCACAGTATTCGCCAACGTCTTCGCCAGGAAACTTCCTGATGCGTAGCATGGTTCTGACCATACGTCGTCGCACTCCAGATCTATGCCGCTCCTGGTGGGCAGTTAGATTCCGAGTGCCAGACCCCCTGAGTAAAGTCGCCTTCACGATTACATCGACAACTTTCGTCTCACAGAGGAGCGGGGGGGGGGAGAACGGGAGGAGGAGAGAGGATGGGGAGTAGGAGCAGGAGGAGGAGGAGGAGGAGGAGGAGGAGGAGGAGGAGGAGGAGGGGGAGGAGGAGGGGGAGGAGGAGTAGGAGGAGGGGGGGAGGAGGAGGAGAGAGGAGGGGGGGGAGGAGGGGGAGGAGGAGAGAGGAGGACGAGGGGAAGGAGGAGGAGAGAGGAGGACGAGGGGAAGGAGGAGGACCACTCTGCCCCCTTGCGTGCCGAGGCACGGGGCCATCCCCCACGCCCGACCCGCGCCCCCGCGGCTGGCCCTGGACCGAGCAGTGTGCGGGCGCGGCGCGGATCTCTTCAAGGGAGATCTGCATCAGGCGCTGCGGTTTGCCCACGCAAGATCCGCATAGCGATCTGCATGAAGCACCTCCTCACCCCACGTGGAAGACATCAGAATCCAAGTGACAGGCCACACTGCCTACGTGAAGCGCATCACGATCCATGGGAACTGCATCACGGCCCACGGGACATACCTCGCGGCCCGTGTAACTCACCTCAGGGGCCGCGTGATAGTCTCCAGGTCGGCATGCAGATGCAGCCAGATGGCATTGTCATGGGAAGGCGCACCTCCAGGGATCGTGAAGCCTGGAAGCTACGAAAACCACGACGACGACTACACTGGATACTCCGCATACGACGGCTGCTACAGAGCAAGCCGCACGACGGCCACGAGGACAACGGCTATAGTTACGGCGACCTGTACGATGGCTACCGCGAGCACGAATGACTGGCCCACCTTCCAGCGAAGCTTCCCGAATCCCAGACGTCTCGCGGCACAAGAGCTCTGACCTTCCAAGTGTTTTCAAAAAACAACGCGCTCCCTATCTAGAGTCCCGAAGCGCGAATGAGAGAAGTGGAAAGTCAAAATGCACTAAGCACACAACGATAACTACGACAACACCTATACGACGCAGGCTGTCCTCGAGACCCTGACTACTACGCATGAAGAACATACTGAGGAATAATATTAATAAGCGTACTCAGACGGGGACACGGGGGATGAGGCCAGGAATGCGGAAGATGCCAGGAAAATAAAGTCAGAGATGAAGCGCACTACTTCGACAACGCAGGCCCTACCGACCCTTTGTCTCCCCTGAGTAATGCCAAGATATGCAGCGACGGATCAGTGATTGACCCGAAGATCGGGTGTCTGTCCAGAGGAGGCTAGGCAGCTGAGAGGGAGAGGGGAATGCCCACAGTGTCAGAGTCCACATGGAGGAGGACGACGGTAGGCAGTCTAAATGGAAGACCAGAATCAACACCTGGACGGACGTGCTCACCAAATAGACTGCGGGGGAATGGTTCTTCAACCGCGGAGGCTGCTAGATCCTCAGAGGCGCAAAAGAAGTTCCTTGCGACGGCCAGAGCTATGATTAAGTCGGACGTGTCCCCCTACAGGGAACTTTTGAGCGAAGAATTAAGAATACTCAAAAATACCCCCAAATGGGCAACAATCATCAAAAATCGTCCCCAGATTATCTTTTGGCTATTTTTTGATATTCCTCCTGTAGAGAGACAGGCCCGACGTAACGCTATGATAATGGTGCCTCAGGCGCGGCCAGTCCCTCGTGCACTGCTGGAGGAGTCTGTGCCCCCGCTCCCAGGCCTGCCAAGGCCTGCCTGCTTGCCCACGGCAGGACACGACACAGGCGGCCCCAGCATCGAATCGAGAATCGCATCGGCCCGAACAGCGTCGAGATCGGCCTCGCGGGGCGGAGTCTCCGCATCGAGCCGGCTCGAATCGGCAGGCAGGAGAACAGCTCCGGATCGAGCCGGCGGAGTCGGAAGGACCTGTACGAGAGGGGCCAGTGGCAGATCGCATCCGGCGTGCGCGGCCCTGCGAGGAGGGGAGGCGGGCGGAAGCCTCCGAGTCCGGGAGCGGCCAAGAGGGGGGTGTCCAAGAAGGGGGGGTGCAAATCATGACCCGCGGCATCTGCGCAGCCCATGGCGGGGGGCCCAGGGACGCAATGAAGCAAGAGGAGGCACCAGGAAATTTGGGGAAGTAGCAGTGCCCCCGCCATGATATCCACCCCCCCCTAGTCATCACCCCCCCTCTTTTCCGCCCCCGACGAGTGTGGACCTCTCCCTCCCCTCGCCCCGTGCCCTCTCGGCCCCGCGCCTGCCCCGTCCCTCCCCGCCCCACGACCTCCGAGGAGCCCGGGCGCTGTGCGCGGGCCCCCGGGGGCGGTGTGAGCTGCGGGAGGTGCGGAGCCTGCGCCGCTCGCCGACCACCGGGAGACCTCTCCCGAAGGCGCGCGCGAGCCCCGGGCAGGAAGCAGGGCTCCGTGCTGCGATTCGGGAGGCTGCCCCGTCGGGGGCGCAACCGCACTGTGCCGAACATTCTGTCTGATGCGAGGGGTCTTATTCATATATTGTGCACAGGTCGTCGTTTTGTTTCACAATGTCCTCATTTCCGTCCCCATTAATGGGGCGAGCGGCTTTCTGAGTCGCCCGGCCAGACTTGCTTGCTTTTGCCTGGCCCCGTGGCGCTGGCGGGCTCATCCAGAGGGCCCGTGTGCCCGGGGCCCTGTGCGTCCGACCGGGGGCCCATGGTCTGTGATGCACTGCCCTCCCACTGACGTCGGCTTTTCAGCCTGAGCCTGGCCTTCGCCCGGGCTTTTCGTGGGAGCCTCGGCTCCACAGGTTGAAGCGAGTTCCGTCTCGCGCCCTCTCTCAGTGCTCGTGGAGCTCTGCAGGCCAGAAGGGAACAAGACAGCAGGGCAGAGGAGGCCAGGAGGGCGGAGGAGGCCAGGAGGGCGGAGGAGGCCAGGAAGGCAGAGGAGGCCAGGAATTGACAGGAGGCGAAGAAGGGAAGGGGGAACCGGGGAGGCCGAAGGCAGAGGGGAGCCAGGAAGGCGGAGGAGCCCAGGCGGGGAGGCCAGGAGGGCCGAGAGGGGGGCAGGAGCCTACGCAAGAGGACGGTACTTCAGAAAGCGCAGGAGGTCGGGAGAGCTGCGGAGGGGCACAGGGAAGGCGAGGAGGCCAAGAGGGCGCTGGAGAACATGACGGCAGCAAGTGCCAGGCAAGCGGAGGAGCCAAAGGAGGCAAAAGTAGCCAGGAAGGCAGAGGATGTCAGGAAGTCGCCTGAGGGCAGGATCGCTGAGGGCACCCGTGTGGCTAAGGAGGCCAGGAAGGCAACTGCAGCCAGGAAGGCAGAGGAGGCCAGGAGTGAAGACTAAGCCAGGTAAGCCGAGAAAGGCAGGGAAGCTCCAGTGGCCAAGCAAGAGGAAGCCAGGATGGCTGAGCAGCCTGCGAAGGCTGAAGAGGCTGAGAAGGCAACAATAGCCAGGAAGGCTGTGGAAGCCAAGACGGCAGAGGAGGCCAGAAGACAGGGGACGGCAGGAAGGCCCATCAGGACTGGATGGCCAAAGCTGACAGGAAGGCTCACGAGGCTAAGAAGGCAACGGTTCCCAGGGGGGGCCGAGGATGCCCTGATGGCGCATGAAGCCAGCATTGTCGAGGATGCCAGAATGGCTGAGGAGGCTCAGAATGTGAAAGTGATCTCGTTGAGTCTTTCGATCTCCCCCAATAGTTGAAAACTAATGATCTTTCCAGCGACCTTCTTGGCGGACTGGGGCCCCACCAATAGTGGAAAATGATTATGTCTGCACGGCACCCGCAGGGGAGGAGGAGGAGGAGGAGGAGGAGGAGGAGGAGGAGGAGGAGGAGGAGGAGGAGGAGGAGGAGGAGGAGGAGAGGAGGAGGAGGAGGGAGAGGAGGGGACGGAAAAGGAGGCTGAGGAGGAGGAGGAGGAGGCGAAAAAGGAGGGAGGAGGAGGAAGAGGAGGAGGAGGAGGAGAAGGAGGGGCGGAGCCTTTCCCCGCCGAGGGAGACAAGGGGGCGGGTCCCCCAAACTGAAGACCTCCCGAGGTTAACCCGGCCAGAAGGACGAGGAGGCCAGAAAGGGAGCTTCCGCTTGAGAGGAAAGACACGACCAGAGGATGAACCGCGGCCCCAAGGAAGGCCCCGACCACAAGCAGAGCTGGAACCCGCAGGGGCAGCCACAACCGGCGAAGCAGCGAGGAGAGCTGCAACTGCAGCCAAGGGGAGAGCTACACCCGTGATAGAGCCCTAAAACAGCTGCACCAACGTCAGACTTCGGGCCCGCGCGGATCTCTC